ACATTATAATTTCTCATCCTTCTTCTTGGTCATCTTTTCGTAATTTGTAGTAAATTTTCAATCTCGCTTCGAGCAGGTGTATTCATCTAGAAGTTGGGTCTTGTTTTTATTTATACCAAATTAATCTCACTTCTGACACCAGTATTTACAAAATTTAGTTCACCTAACAAAAGCAATATATTTTTCTGAATATAAATCCTACAAGTTAGTTTGAATAATGCACACTGACAGGCTTAAGTTTGCAGTAGATATTAATACAACAATTTCACTTTGTAACCTCTCTCGTAGGCGGCGGTTTAAAACAAAGTCACATAAAACTAACTAACAAAACTCGATCACGCAAATAATCAATCATTCTTTGTAACAGTCTCACAAACAATCAATAAACTACTTTATCATAACCCACGTTTTCAATACTGGTTGGTTTAGTTGTTGTTAAGCGCAATGGGCTATCTGTGCTTTGCCCACCTCCAGTTGCACAGCGCTATGTATCCGGACTTACACTAGAAACCAGGTTTCGATACTGTGTAGCTTTGTGTTTAACAAAAAACAGAGAAAATGAGTGGTGCGAATGTATGAGCTGTAAAGTGGGCGGTATATTCCGCGGGATTTTTTTTTTCACACCCAACTCTAAACAAGGCTACCAACTAGTTTTTCTAGCTCTTACATTGCTTGTGTAGCAGTAAAAATACAACAAATATCGTAACTTCAGACTTTTCAAGACGGTGGCGCCATCTATGAATAGAAAATAAACCATTTAGCACATTGAATATATATACACATTTTTTGTATCTGCTGAAGAACAATAAAAATTATTTAATAATATTTGTCATAGAACAAGTATAATAAGCTTATCGTTTCCTTTCCGTAAATTAGGGTATTTTCAATCGTTTTTCCAGAAAAGAGATATTCCGTACCAAACCAAATGCTTTAAACTATTCTTACTCACAATTTGCTGTGACTCTATACAAGCCCACGGTATAGTAAATGTAAACTAGTTTCTGGTAGTTGCTGTGACTCTATACAAACCCACGGTATAGTAAATTTAAACTAGTTTCTGATAGCTGCTGTGACTCTATACAAACCCACGGTATAGTAAATTTAAACTAGTTTCTGGTAGTTGCTGCGAGTCTAAAAAAATTCCATCGTTAAAAATGCTTGTTTGTTTGCCGTTAAGCACAAAGCTACACAATGGGCTATCTATGCTATACCCATCACGGGTATCGAAACCCGTTTTTTAGCGTCTTAAGCCAGAGACTAGGGAGCATACAAAGTCAAATATTCCCTTTCGCTACGAAATTTAATAGTCTTGCACCTAGAATCTCACGGTTGATGCTTAATATAAAACAAGAGACAATGGATGTGTACATAAAAAATAAATCAAAACATCTGAGATGAAAATAATACTGTAGATCAACACGGAATGTTGACACGTGCATGTTCGAAAAACGAATAAAAGGAAGTGATGAAAAACGGAGAGCCCAAACAGGAAGTTTGTCACTTATAAGTAATGATAATGAGGTCACATCCTGTGGATTATTTCCGTTACTCGTAAGTTTTACATAAGCAACCCATTATTTCTTTTATCAAATAACAGATACATTTGTTAATATTCCCTTCATCAAATTTTATGTAATTTAAACCTATTTCAACGTGTTATAAAACTTTAATACGTATTTTTTTTTTCAAATGATACTTTTTTTTGTGTGTGTATAAACTATAAACAGACTTTCTGGAACCTTCGTACGAATTATTCGTTTCTTTAATATTGACTTAATATTTATATTCTTATTACTAAACAGTAATCTTATTCCATTTGTAATATTATTATAAAATGCTGGCGCTTGATATAAATATCTTTTTTTTCAAACATTTCTTTATTATCTTTGAGAAGTTTTATATTCGAATGTTGGTTCTTTAGTTCTTGTCTGATATACTGATTTTATTTGTCGCCAGCTTTGAATGTCTTTAGTGACTCTATTTACTGTTTTGTAAATATACAATTTACACACTGGAGGTATATTCAAATTTTGAAAATTTAATTTAGTATGATCATACTGTAATATGCACCCCCCCCCCCAAGTGGCACAGCGGTATGTCTGCGGACTTACAACGCTAGAATCCGGCTTTCGATACCCGTGATGGGCAGAGCACGGATAGCTCATTGTGTAGCTTTGTGCTTAATTACAAACAAACATACTGTAATAACAATGATATCATACATCTGATAATATTATTTGTAATTGTATTAAAACTTAAAATTATTTCATAGGTTTGTTTGTTTGAAGTTAAGCACAATGGCCACTGGGGGGCTGTTATATAGGTACCTCCTCACCAGGTGATATAATATTGTAGAATTGAATCAAATTGAATGATAATAAATATTTTTCTTTTCATTTTCAGATAAATATTTTTTTAAATCGTAAAAACCTTCCTGCTGATATCTTGACGTTTTATTATTATTAACTTAATTAATTTTTTACAACTTAATCTATAGTATAATATTACTCCAAGATATTTAACATTTCCTGATTTTATGAACAAACGAATTAATATTTATAACAAGCTGGAGTACCCGTTCCCACATAAATCAACTGATTTAATCTATTAAACGCTGTAATTAGTATTTTCTGTGTTCACAGTTTCATGACATTTAAGTTGGCGATATGAGAAAACCTTATTTAATCTAAAAAGTTTTATTATTTATTTAACAATCTATTATATTACTGTACTGATAACTAAGGAACCAGTCTATAACATTTCCACGTGATATTCACAAGATATTATAAATTCAAATTTATTTTATTTTACTGAGAAGATTGAGTATATCCTCCTGAAGCAAAGGGCAATAACAAGACAGGTTTTTGCAGTACCAACCGGTTTTTTTTTGTAATACTGTTTGCTTTGATTACCCCCCCCCCCCAACTTCAACTACAAAATTGAATGCAGGTAGAGAGTGTGTGTGTGGGTTTAAGTTAAATAGCACTGATTATACCAAGTGGGCTGTTGATGAGAACTTTCCCCTTAACTGAACCTCCCAGTAAGGTGCAGAGTTAACACAAAGGAATAAAAAAAAACGAGTTTCAATTAAGATTCTTCGAAATAGAGTCTAGACAAGCAGCAGTAATCCTACTTTGGGCATGAATCAAGTAAGAGCTTTCAGTTTTACATAAGAAAACCGAGCATCTCACATTACTTGTCGATCGTCCCGCCACCTGTTGAGCAATCTTTTCATAGATCAAATTATCTGTTGTACTTGCACTACTAAATAACATAACTGTTCCTCTTTCACGCTTAAACTAACGTGTAGTTTTATCCAAGTTAACTTTATTTTTGTGTATGTAACGAGTTCTGAAAATATCTATTTTGCACACACCACTTATTGATCGTACCGCCACCTGTTGAACAAACACTACATCAAATTATTTGCTCTACTTTCATTACTGTCCCCTTAGCCATTTTTTGTGAATATAACGACCTTTGAAAGTTTTATCTATTCTATATTTGTGTCTAAATTAAGTCTGGACCAGTTTACACCCGATGGGGCTCCTCCTCAAGACGTTAATTCAGAGAAGGTACTGGATCTGGTCCTACATTCCTATGAGGTTATTTGAAGTTTGTAGTGTTTCGTCACATACCAGACACACTACCAGCACTTTGTTTGTGTATTATTTACCTCAAGGAGCTATCTGTTCTCTGCGTACCGCGGACACAGACTCGTTTTCTAGCGTTATAAGATCCTCAACCTCACTGCCGAGACATTTGAACGTCCTTATGCTGCTAACGTTTTGATGGTTATAGTTTGACCTGATTGGTGCAGAATCAACCCAAACTCGATTTTTATTGGTCACTTACCTGACGTCACAGCTAGTCATTACTTTTTCATTGGTGAATTTTCATGGGAACAGTGAAATTTTCCACTACTGCTGTTACTAATGTCCCCTATCTGGTTTGTGATCATCAAGAGTCCCTTCTAACTTTTATTTGATAATATTATACGATCCACGTCCACGTAGAGATATTTTCTTGTGATTGAATGAATTTTGAGAAAGCTTTCATGGTGTATAAACAATTTTTCTGTCTATTAAAGTCAACGGAAAGTCTAGCCTAATTATACACACATACACAACTATTAATCACCTACGGTAAACTATTTGGTTGGCCAGGTGGTTAGGGCACTCGACTCGTAATCTGAAGGTCGCGGGTTCTGATCTCCGTCACACCAAACATGCTCGCCCTTTCAGCCGTGGGGGCATTATAAAGTGACAGTCAATCCCACTATTCGTTGGTAAAAGAGTGGCCCAAGAGTTGGGCTGCCTTCCCTCCAGTCTTGCACTGCTAAATTAGAGACGGCTAGCGCAGATAGCCCTCGTGTAGCTTTGTGCGAAATTCAAAAACATCCAAACAAACACTATTTGGTCAAGGATACCATATCTTGAAACTATTAACGTCTGGATTTTTTTCTAAAACAGGAATATCGTGGAAGTTTTTTCTGACCTACAATAGTGATAATTTTTTGACAGGAATGGTTTCAAAATGTGCAAAGTTTTAGCAAAATTTACGAAATAAATGTTCGTTTACCTTCTTTCTGGAAATGAAATATAAAGTGACTTTTTATTTTCGTTAAAATACTAACAACGATAATAATTTTTCCATTATATATATATCAATACCGAATCATTTGTAAAATTTGTTGTGTCTCCATTAAACTTAACTTCACAGAAATAAAACAGGAGGAGTAATGGACCCAAAACAGTTCAGTTTATTTCGTCACTTATAACGTTATTTTAACTAATTCTTAATCACAGGAGAGTTATCAAGTTTTGTTTTGCACACAAATATGATTAGTATTCCTACGTGAATTTTTTTGTGTTTGAACATGTTAACACTATTTTAATTACGACTGACACAATGTTGAAAGAAGAGCATAATATTTATCATTGTTTTTTGGCACTTGTGTATAAAGTTAAAATCATAAATAATATTCAACGTTAAACTGGTACACAATTAAAAACATTTTATTTAGGCCTATCTATGGCCTTCAAAAAAAGTTGACGACACTACATGTTTCGAAGTTGCAATGTCATCCTCAGGAGTGAATTACAAGACAATGCTAAAATATTTATAACTTTTTAGTGGGTCATGTGACCTGTATGCTTTTATTATAGTTCTATGTATCACATTCATTAATAAAACATAAGACCTTTCTGTTTGATTGAAACAAAATCTCTATTGGTTATGTAATTATGTTTTTTTTAGAAGCAAAATACATTTGATAGTTATGATACTTCACAGTTAAATGTAAGAGAAATTTATAAAACCATGGATTACATATACTTTTTTGTATTGTAGAATGTTTGCATTCTAATAAATAAGTTCAAACAGAACTGTTTAAAACAGTCCCAGTTTTTAATTTCTAATTACATGTACATAAGGAAATTTCTCGGTGAAACAAACTCTACTTATTAATAATAGGTTTTATTATACTGTTAAACAGTGAGATGACATTAAGTTCCTCAAATAGTTTCTTCAAGTCATTTTCTTCATCACTTTCATGCACTACAAACTCTTTTACACTGAGAAGGAAAGAAGAAATATTCAACTTATAAATCATTCTGATAAATATTTCCCTCATATATATATTTCAGGATTAACACAAAACTACCGGTTGTGTTGATATACATATATATTTCAGGATTAACACAAAACTACCGGTTGTGTTGATATACATATATATATTTTAGTATTAACAGAAAATTACCAGTTGTGTTGATATACATATATATATATTTCAGGATTAACATAAAACTACCGATTGTGTTGATATACATATTTCAGGATTAACAGAAAACTACCGGTTGTGTTGATATACATATATATTTCAGGATTAACACAAAACTACCGGTTATGTTGATATACATATATATTTCAGGATTAACACAAAACTACCGGGTGTGTTGATATACATATATATATATTTTAGTATTAACAGAAAATTACTGGGTGTGTTGATATACATGTATATATATTTTAGTATTAACAGAAAATTACTGGGTGTGTTGATATACATATATATATATATTTCAGGATTAACACAAAACTACCGGTTGTGTTGATATATATATATATATATATTTCAGTATTAACAGAAAACTACCAGTTTCAGGATTAACAGAAAACTAACGGTTGTGTTGTACAGCATAATACAAAAGTTTTTTTTTCCAGAAACTGTATTGTCAAAATATCAGATAAATTCATTAAGGTGCATTGGAATTATAACATTATTTTAACAAGTACAAAATCATTTAGAAAGAACAAGAAATTTCTGATTTGTAAAAGAATATTATAAATTAAGATCCTTGATTCTGTTAATGCTCGAGCTATTAAATTGTTTAAAACTTGATTATTAGCTACATAGTTTTCTGGAAATATTAGGATTAATTTAACACACTTCATCACAAAGAGACTTAACTAAATGTAAATCCATTGTAGGTAATCAACTACATTGTCTAACTGAGTTAATTGCTATCAGAATTTTCAACAGAAGATACTGTCAAATAAAGAAAATATTTTATGTTTCATATTGTATTTGTGTGTCTGTTATTAGTACAGATGCCAAGTGAACATACATACCTTGTTAAGTGCTCAATTTCTCCTTCATACAGTACAGTCAACATTCGTTCCTTACAAGTCCGTCCAGCTGAATCAACGTCAACACACACTGTTCTCTGACGTGTCACGAACTCCTTTTGTAAGATATAGAAAGTATTAGATGTAAGAAACCATACACAAATACAGAGATTATTACACTAGTACTATCCCATCTTCTCAATATGCTAAAAATGTACTTAACATATTTAAAATAGGAAAAACAAAAATGTTTAAACTCACCACAGCATGGCTAATTTAATAATCTTCCAAAATCAGTCACATGTTAAATTTTTTATTCTTCATTTATTAATTAGGAACATAATATATTACAAAAAGTTTAGCCATAATCTCCAAAGGCAAAAAAAAACAAACAAAAGTTGATTCATACACACATTTTATGTTTCTTACTTTTCTCAATAACTATTATAAAATTACGGAAACTGCATTGCGTTACCTGTGTATCTAGTCACATAGTTACGTTTACAAAATATGTACACAATATATGTTAAGTTTCTCCACAAAAACAATGGATTAATTGCACACACACACACACACACACCTTAACAAGTTTCTGTTTCCCTTGTAGTAGTAAAAAAATCCACCTTCTGAAGAAGATAATTGTACTTAACAAACCGAGTTCACCAGCCCAAGACTTTAGTTTCTTCACATACTTGGTTTTAGATCTCATGTGATCCAGAAGAAGCAAAGACGTCCATTCTGAAATTGTATGATACTGGTATTCATCTTCTGTAAGGAGGCAGTAACTTTACAAAATTTTAAGAAAAACACTTAAGTCACTCATGAATACAACTGATTACTACCATTAAACATTCTGATTAAGAAGTTAGCACATAGGATCACATATTTAAGAAACGCTCATAGCTTTAAAGCATTTACTATAAGCTTTCGAGTGAAATGGTTGGCACTAGGCTTACAGTAAGTTCTAGACTTGGAGAAGAATTGCAGAACATTTCTGACTAAGCTATCACAGTGAGCTAAGAGCAGAAGAGGCGTGATAACATTCATATCATGTTACCAACGAATGAAAACATCAGTCACTGCTTATACTGTATATTAAATATTAAATTGCATATATCAAAATGTGTCTTATTTGAAAAATAAAAAGATATAAACAAGACCCAAAACTCGAGGGCTTTCGAATACTTCACCATTCTTATTCAGGAAGAAGAACAGTGAACTATTTGAAAGCACTGGAGTTTTAGGTCTTGTTTGAAAAACATTAAACATTCATCATGGTTTAAGAATCCTAACCTGGGTTGATGAATGATATCCTAATGTATAAAGGCTCTATCTAGTACAGAAACTGAAAGCTTATGACACATTTCATCCTAATGCGTGCTGTAATAGTAACAAATTTTAAATGTACATCAGAAGTGTTTCATTACTAGATTCTTGGGATGAAGTTACAACAGCACCCTGTTTTTCTAAAACATAATGAAGTCCATTCTCTTGGAGCCACAGAACAAGATCCATTACCATAGGTGAACCAAGAAGGGTTAGAGCATAGCTTTTAATGTCAGTCAATAATCTTGTCTGTGCATGTCTTGTTATGAAGAGGTCACAATCCACAGATATATCAGGAACAACATCTGGATATCCTTCTGAAAGTTCTAATGTAATAGTGAAGCTTTTTTCACATTTGTTACCGGAGTGTTTCTGGACATTGTCCGAGTTCAAGTTGATTTTCAAAGATACCACAGAAGTCTTCTCACCTAGAATTACAGAAGCCATTCATACTATTAGAACCATTTCTTGTACATTCAGAACAATACAGTCCATGCTCGTAAAAGTCTTAACAATATCATGCTATACGTTCTCGAAATTAAGTCTTCATTTCATGTTATTGAAGAAACATATTAACAGTTTGTTTGTTTTGATTTTTGCACAAAGCTACACAAGGGCTATCTGTGCTAGCCGTCCCTAATTTAGCAGTGTAAGACTAGAGGGAAGGCAGCTAGTCATCACCACCCACCGCCAACTCTTGGGCTACTCTTTTACTAACGAATAGTGGGATTGACCATCACATTATAATGCCTCCATGGCTGAAAGGGGCGAGCATGTTTGGTGGGAATGGGGATTCAAACCCGCGACCCTCAGATTGCGAGTCGAGCGCCCTAACCACCTGGCCATGCTGGCCCCATATTAACAGAGACAAAACTAATAAAAAGGTAAAGTTAAGAAATGCAATAAGTAGTTCTTATACCTAAATTTAGATTTACAGGCTATTAATGATATTACTTTATAAAACTTTTTAAATCAATTTGATGTAATGGATGCAAGTAGCAAACTTTGTTTTCATTTTATACCACAAAATGTTTAATATTTCTTTAATAATTTACACAGTAAATCATATTCTCTATCACCCCATATAAAAAAAAATTATAGTAAACTTACACTATAAAAAAAAGTAAAAATCTTCCATACACTATTTTATTAAACATAAATTACAAGCTGTAATAAATCAGGGTTTCTGAAGCTGGTTTGGGATTTTTGTTAACAAAGGTGACTTTTTTCATTTATTTAATGAAGTTATCAATAATCAGGTGCTTTACTTAAATGAAGAATATGTGAAATAATGAAAGTTATTCTGTTGTTTTATAACTTAATCATTATATAGTCTTATAATCAAGATCATGAGGTCTTTCCTTAAACATTTAACTATACTTCACAGTCCAACAGTACGAGATCTCCTATAGTATATATTCTCAAAGACAAGATCATCCAACAGAAAAATTATCATTTACTACATATAGTGCGCACTTGTCCAAATATCAAAGCTGCCATCTCACTACTTCTTAGGCTACCCGTGACGTCATGATAATGTTTTCTCTTAGATCACCCGTACAAGTATTTCTATGTCAAATTTTCATAATTCAATGTGCAAATGCTGAAACTTTTTTTTGCTTGCATGGTCTAAATCATTACAATACAAACCTTGGAATAAGATCTTAAACTCCCCATCTCTGGAGTAAATTGCTTGCAAGGTGTCTATTTCTTCCCTCTGCATCATTAGGTTGCCATTATTTCTTTCATTTACCACTTATAAAAATAATAAAAACAAGTTCGTTAGCTGCTTATCTGTTTCATGACTTTGTATTTCTGCTTGCTATTTATTTATAATTTTGTTTAAAAACAAACAAAAAATAAGTAAAATTATTGTGGAATTTTAGTGATGCTTTCCACAATAATACAAAAAATCACCGAACACTGTAAATGTAACTATTACTAGTAGTAGTACAATGTTTAGGCTAGCCAACACTGTAATTTATATGATAAAATAAATTAAAAGATTTATAACTTGCACTAACTTAAACTAACGACTGACTTCGGGTTAGTAATAGTTAGGTAATAGTTCGCATTTCTTTATTGTTGCCAGTGTTATTAGAAATTTGATTAGGTCCAAATAACACTAACAATCAGTGTCACACATAGGGGAACAAAATTATGATAGTGACAGCACAAAATATATTCCAAAATAATTCAAAAATTGTAATAATTAATGAAATATTTTCATAAATATGAGTTACACGATCAAAGTCCAAACAAACGTTTTAGTTTATACTGGTCAAATGCCCGTGCAATATTAAATGTAGGATGCGGCACTCCAACACAACAAACACATTTTCATATTCAAAGCCAGAAGATGCCTGACCCTTCACGAATGTGGCTTTATTTATAGATGGAGATAGACGTATAAATTCAAATAAAATAAAATTAGTGTAAAAATATAATATTACATTCTATAGCAAATAAGCTATTACATAATAAAATATGTAAAATAAATAATATAATTACTTACTTTTAATGAAAATATTATCATTAGAATGAAACAAAAGTAAGCACAAATGTAAATAGTATAGTCGTCCGATATTATGAGATATGCACCGAAACATATTTAATAAAGTAATTTTTTGTTTTCTTATATAAACTTTTACAGTAATTACAGAAAATAGTAATTGTAAAATAAAGAGAATAATTCAATGCAAGAAAGGAGAAATAAATGCTAATGGATTAATTTAATTTAATATTTTACTAATAAGTTTCTTACATTATTCATATAATTTGTTTTATGGTTGTAAAAGTAGGTTTTCAATAAAAATTTACATTTAATAGAGCTAATCACCCATGATAGATTTTGTATTTATCGTAACATATTTATTTTCCAAAAAAAGAGTACGTTTATATGTCTTATAATTAAACTGTAGTTATGAAAAACCAATTCATATTTACATTGAACTAATATCAACCCCGTTTCCTTGATTGTACAAACACCACTTGAAGCACTTGCCCTCTAGTCTCTCAGTTTTGTTTGTTTATTGTTAAGTGCAAAACTACACAATGGACCATCTGTGTTCTGCTCGTCGCGAGTATCGAAGCTCGAATTTCAGAGTTGTAATTCCTCAGTCTTACCGTTAAGCTACCAGAATGGCGTTTTCTGTTGTAGCAATAATTTTTATCTTTCAACTACAACGACATGTTTGTCAGATCACATGATTTGGCCAAAATTTTGTAAGGAATTATAATATTTTTTTTAACCATGTAACCTGTCACATTAAATCGTTTTTTAGCGAAATAAAATTAATGTTTTCATTTCAGAATGTGATATTTTAATGCTACATATCTGATACCAGTATATAGGACAAGAGACTAATTAAAAATAAATATAATATTAAATCATTTTAAAATATGTAAGTATATATGCATCACAACTGAGTTGTAGAAATCACAAATTACAGTACGGTTTTAGTCCTTTGGAAAAAAAAAATCACTTCTCAAAACGTACCAAACATGACGTAATATTTTAAGGGTGCCCGGCATGGCCAGGTGGATAAGGCGCTCGACTCACAATCTGAATCCGCATCCCACCAAACATGCTCGCCCTTTCAGCCGTGGGGGCGTTATAATGTGACGGTCAATCCCACTATTCGTTGGTAAAAGAGTAGCCCAAGAGTTGGCGGTGGGTGGTGATGACTAGCTGCCTTCCCTCTAGTCTTACACTGCTAATATAGGGACGGCTAGCGCAGATAGCACTCGTGTAGCTTTGCGCGAAATTCCAAAACAAACAAACAAAATATTTTAAAGAGTTTTGGACTGGTAAGCTATTTTGGCGCGAAAAGCATATAGCAGATACTTGAAGATTGTGTTTCAGCTCAGTTGAGGCAAGTTGTAAGTTTCTTTCCGTAATTGAAAATTTAATATGATTCAAGCAAAAATATTTTATTCCGTACATAGTTATCATGTACAAGAACTCCCCATTTCAATGTCTTGTGAATAATATACACTGAGTGGTCACAAGTAAATAGACACCTAATTTTTCGTCATTTAACTGATTTATGCTAAGTTATTTA